CTGATCAAGGTCCCTCTCTCCAGCTTCTATATCTCTCACATCTCTCTGGCAATGAGTGACTCTTCAATTTCTCTGTTCTATTCCAAACCACCTACAGATAAAACCCACCACCAGGGACACCCTGATATAAACACAGGTGATAAACACAGCTGGGTAGCAGTGGTGGCCATGTGATTGGAGTAACACTGTTGGAACACCATATTCCTACGTAGACTCAGCTTTATTTAAAGTTTTTTATTTTTTAATAAAATATGCAAATAGCAAGTAAGTAGAACACCACAGAGCTCTGCTTTGCTACAAAATTGTTTGGAGACATTTCACTATTTTGAGGACTTTGCATATACAGAGCTCTGGAGCTGATGAGAAGTGTAGATGCTAAAGTCCACATAAAGGCATTTGCTAGGATTACAACAGCAAGATTAAGGTGAAAACAAAATGATGTAAGGGGCTTCCTTAACCAATAGGCTCAATTTGAGAATTGGTAAAACAGGGTTGTAACTTTTATAATCTTGGAGGATTTTAGATTTCTTGTGATTTTAAACCATAAAACACTCCAGTGAAGCATGACAGAATTGGGTGGTATTTGGTAAAATATCTCAATCATTCCTACATTGTTAAGATTTACATATCGAATTTTGCTCACATTTTTTTGCCCTTAAGTGATCATTAAGCATATTTTGAAATAGACAACTAGAAACAGGTATCTCCCCCAACTCTGCCATTATCCTAATGTATTGCTATTATTTTTAGTTTTGTATTCGACATTTATTTATTGAGCATCTACTACGTGTGAGACATGGGTGAACAAATAGAAAGTCCTAAAGGAACTTATATCTTAGTGGGAGGAGATAAAAAAAAGTAAACAAATGATGTACTTATATGTTGTGGTTAGTACTATTACTGGGTGGCTGGTGTACTGAATACCTGCTATATAAGGCTATGCTGTTTCTACAATGATGAATAAGACAGGAATCTACCAGCAAGGGGCTTATAATCTGAGTTAACAGAAGACTAAATAATTATCAGTCTTTGGTAAAAAGGATTGCTAAAATGGCAAATTATAGTCCTTTTGAAGATTAGAGTCTATATTAATTATGGTCCATTACGAACTGATATACCATGCAATATGAAACACTTTATATATTTAATGTAAAAAAAATCTAAACAACAGGAAGCTGTGCCTGTCATAATGTTTCCTGACTAAAACCAAAGGAATTTTACACTCCAAAGTTATTTTTTCTGGGTCAAACTAAATCTGATGCTGTATTGAAAACACAAAGCTATAATGATATTTATTGCTTCAACAGCTACTACTGCAATTTTATGTTTATTTTATTTGCTGCCAGCTTCTGCATATACTGTACCAACACTTGTTAACTGGTTTTAGAATACACACCATAAGTTTAAGAAAAGAAAGAAAACACTGAAACACCATAAAATAATTTTTATATTAGCGAAAGATACTCTTTCCTCTTTCAAGTGTTTTTCTTTCAGAAATACAGTGTTGTCTTTTTTTTTTTTTTTTTTGATTCAAGAAAGATCTGTGAGTCCTCAAGAGCCATTCACACCAGCTTAATGCCAGGATCACCTAACTTAAGAAATGACCTGTCGCTGAGACCCAAAGAGGAGACAAGAAAAGGGTTTAGTTTCACCGTGAAGCAGGGATACAGAAAACTTAATTTTCTTTCAACCTCTGCTGCCGGGCCTGACTCGTGTTTCCTGTGTCTTTTAAAATGGATGATCCTGAGACAGTTGAGTTTTTACTGGAGCAACACTTTGACATGTCTTCCAAAGTAAAAGAGAGAAAAATAAAGTTATGCTAAGTCTCAGGACTCAAATTATCTGTACAAAATAGCACCTTTTCCCCCACCTTGGGAGGTATTTCTCTTATAGGTGTGTAAGTTCACATAAAGATATTTGAGTCATATTAAATATAGATGGTTTTTGGTCTATGATAATGACTATTTTGGCTAGATTCTCCCAGAGGCCATCCCCGAGATACAGTTTCAAGGGCTAGTATTTAACTTGGGAGGTGACTAGGGATCACCAGGAGGTGATCACCAGGAGGGGAGTAGGGAAGCCAGGTGGGGAAAGGGAAGCAAGCCAGTTAAAGGTGTGCTGTGAAGGCATTCCCAAGGATGCCTGAGCTCAGTCTCCAGGGAACTCTGGAATACCTTGTATAACATGCCTCCAAGCTACCCCAGGAGGGAGGCAGCCTATCTGGCTGAAGACTGCTTTTGGTCTAATGAACTCTCCAGTGCTTCCAGCATGCCCTGGATCCAAGAAGAAAGCCCTGAGACACAAACAAGCAGGCTTTCCCATAAAGTAGACTTCAGAGAGCACAGGGGACATCAGAGAAATATGGGTTGGCTCTGATGGCCTCTGCTACTATCTATCCCTTGCATGCTGTGTTGTGTTGTCTGTCCTGTCACTGATTCCTCATGCTGATGTCCAGTCATACCCACAACAGGAGTATTGATAAATTGAGTTATGGGCTCTTGCTATAGTTTGTCCTGCGGCTATGGTGATTTCCCCCTTATCACCCATTCTAGAGTCCCCTCATCTTCAATTAGCACTTCTGCTGGTCTGGGCTGCTTGACGAAGTGGCCCAGACCATTGTCCCTGTGTCCCTTTGTCCTAGACCAGAGTTTAAGCCCTGATTGCCATGCTCTTGTCAGGCCAGGGTTGCTGTGTTTCATCACCAGGCATGAAAAAGATGTCCAGTGAGAGTTCTGAGTTCCAGAAATAATCTTCTCTGCCCCATTTCTTCTTGATCATGGGGGTCAATTTTTTGTTACCTGTATGAAGAGAACAAATGAAGAGAAGCCTTTAGATTTAGTGGAACTTTGTGTCCACTGGCAGAGCATCCTCCCCTGCTAGAGGAGCCAGGACTCTATCAGGGATGAAGCATCATACACTGATATTAGGTTCAAAATATAATTGCATCCCAGGCACAGCATCCCAGTACTGCACTATGTTATCCCCAAGCTTCAGGCTTAGCTGCACCTTTAGAAGCTATTCTAATGGTCTATTAGGGTGATATCTTCTGAGTGTGTGGTATATGGTACAACCAGTGGATCTGGTGATATTGGCCCCTCTGTCATATTTTTTTCACTCTCAAGAGAGTCCTTGTTTTAGGTGATATGGGAAATCCCACAATGATAAATCAGACACTATGTAAGCAATTTGATAGAGATGCTTGCCAGGGTACTGCAGGCAGGGAAGACAAATGTGTATCTGGGTCTGAGGAAATCAACTTGCTACCAAATGGCTGCCTGGTCTACTTGAGAGAAGTACAATACCACTAGCTGTATATTGGCCACTGGAGCTTAAAGGGGGTGGTTGCACTGTTTAAATCTGCTTTGTTGAGAGGGGTATGTGCAGCTCCATCCCTGCCACCATGGCTATTCAATTCATAGGACCATTGTACAAACACTAAGGTGACCCAGGACAGAGGCTGGTCAAATCATCCCTCTGCTGTGGATGCTTGCTGGTGGGTATTCATGTGACACATACAGATTGGCCAAAGTCTGTGTGAGGTGCACGTTTAGCTCTTAGGGCTAACAGGTGGCAAGAACCCTCATCATAGTTGTGCCTCTGCTTCATGGTTATACTTCTTTCCATTCAGCTATAACCAGTCACTCCAACAGATCTCCTTCCTTTGAGAATTTCTAGACTGTAAGCAGGAGGCATAATCTTGATCACATGTAGTTCCAATGGCAGGCTACTTCACCCAAGAACTTCACCCCAGAACTTCACTCCATGCTCAGTTCCACCGTGATGGCAGCAAGCACAGGCTCCAGTGTTCCTCAGGTCAGCAAGTACTAACCCAGCTCAGAGCCAGTTGGGTGTATTCCTTCTAAGCCTCGAAGAAATGTCTGACTCCAATTGTTTGGGGCTCTCTTTATAATGTGGAGTGACTGTAGGGTCATCAAATATTGTCCAAACAGGGACACTTTTGACAGTAAGAGGCACTCTTATTAAGCCAGGATAGCAGGCAAGCACCACCTATGTCGCAGAGTAGGATTAATTAAACCTATTAATCTGCTACCTTTTCCAATCTGAGTGGCCAACTGCAGCACAATCAGAAAAACCTCTCTAAAAATCCTATCACAAAGCTTAAACTCCATCACCCTTGATCATGTCATTTCTTTGCATAAACTCTCAAATCCTTTGCTCTCTGCTCCTTTTGCCTTATAAAACTCCAACATTGGTTATACTAATTTTCTACTAACTCTCTACCTATACAAGAGCAGCCAAGGCATGCCGGCATGATGATTGGTTCTCACTTTAAACTTGTCTAATAATTGTCGCAATATCCAGGACAAAGATTTCACATTCTCATTTCTCCTCAAATCTCCCTTGCCCTTCATCCTCCATTTTTCACGGATGATCTTGCTGCTTCTTTTGCTAATAAAATAGAGGCAACCAGTTATGTCCTCATTTCCTTGTCACCACCTTCCCCTATTCCCATTGTCTCCTCAGTGCAGACCACCATCATTTCTTGCCTAGACTGCAGCAGTCTCTCATTTAGTGACATTTCTTTTCTTCTTGCCATACCACGGTTTACCGTCAGCCCAGCGAGATCCTGAAAGGAAGTGACTGCTTGTTGTTCACCTTTTATATCTAGCGCTCCTACACAGCACCTAGGCCATGGAGGCGTTCACCAATTTTGATGATTTTAAACAGTCAACATTCAGGGTTTCCAGGCTGTAGACTGGCATTCTTCTCCGCAATTTCCATGGTCCTGTGACTTTTGTGTGTCACCCGGCCTCCCGGAGCCTCGGGTGGAGCCACAGCGTCCTGACCCAGTGCAGAGCCCACCACAAACGGCCCAAGGGTCATCTTCCGCCTCCTTGAAGGTGTCCGAGGGCACTGCCAGGAACTGCGCACACCGCATGCCCCGCGGGGGCGCACTCTCCTCGTCTACCTCCCCGACTCCCAGCTTTCCCCCCTTCCCACGGTTCGGCTCGTCGACAACTCGGCACTCGACTACCCGGCGGATCGACGCCGTCGGCGCTCCGGGTGGGCGGAAGTTGAGGGCAGGCGATTGGTGGGGCTGCGGCCCGAGTGCTCTTCTCGAGAGCGGCCCAGACTCTGTCCGAGCGGGCCGAAGGGGCGGCAGGCAGGCCAGAGGTACGTGTCACAGCCCTGAGGCCAGCCGGGGGAAGCACGGACAGGTAGAGCGGCGGGGCTCGCTCCTGGAGAGACGGGTAGGAGTGGCGGCCCGCCAGCACCAGTGGTCAGCCTCCTGCCCGGCTCTCCAGTCCGTACCCGTGAGGGTGTGGGGGTAGGGGGAGCCGCGCGGTCTCGTCCCGAGCCCCGCGCCAGGAGCGGGGCCCGGGCCTTCGGAATACTGACCCTACAGAGATGGTTGTAGTTGGCTTCACCTGCTTCCTTGCGCCTCTGCGTCGTTGTCACCGAGTTAATTTTGAGAATTTATTCGTGCAGAGCGAATATGAGGCACGTTTTGTTTAGATTTGCGTCAGTTTAGACCTATACTGACCACTTCCTGGGTGTCTGTCACTTCTAAGCATTTACATCTACTGACTGATTTAATTCCACTAGAGGTAGATGTTGTTACAGTATATCTATTTTACATATGGGGAAACAGAAGCTCAGAGTGGTTAGGTAACTAGCCTGAAGTATAGTTAGTTATTCGGTGTTTTAGCTGCCCTTGAGACCATGTAGTGAGGCTCTAGATCCTGAACACGCAAGCACTGTTCTCTCTCCTTTAAGCCTACTTAATTTGGTATCCCAAGATTTAGAAAATAGACACTTTCTTAATAACAAAAGAGTTTTTGAAAGAGCTTGTCTTCAAATGGAAATTATTTTTAATTGCTAAAGATTAATCAGACTAATATGAGAAAATTTGTTTCATCGTTTTTTATGAATCTGAATAATCCTACAAGAAAAAAATTTTAAAAAAATTAAAATTAGCCACACTTTAAGTCATTTGGGTGCATTATATTGGAAAGCTAGGTGTAACTGAGCTTACCGTAGAACCATCTCCTTATGAGTAATAATATTTTGTTTATGTTAATGTATTCTGGCCATGCTCTGTGTAACTGACTCTAATAACAAAGGAACTGAACTCCAGAAGCTTCCTCAAGATTATCTGTGTGTTAAAAGTTGTTGACTCAAAGGGTGGTACTAGAAAGAGGATGATATGTGCTTAGTACTTAAATGTTCTCTTCTGTTAAATAGAAACTCAATTTTAAGCAGAGAAGCAGAAGATCCCCCAGTGTGACTTGGAACTACTATTGGAAGTTTCAGAAAATATTGTTTTCTTTGTCAAGCATTTAATTTCCTGTACTGAATATCACTTTGAACTATTACCTTTCTAAAAGATGATTGTTAACCTGCTAAATTAAATTTTCATGTCACAAATATTTGAGAGCCTGTTATACATGAATCTTATGGGAAATAAAATTGGTATTCAAAAATTTTTGCAAAGACGGTATTCTAATAAAGGACTTTGGACAATTACTGGTGTCAGTCGGTGGCAGGATTAGGCCATATGGGAAATGCTGGTTATACAGTTAGTCTCTCAATTGCTTTTTCACCCATTCTCCAGTTTACTTATCTTCATCTAGCCAACATTCCTAATATAGTACCTACTATATGCTAGGAGCTTAAATGTTTGTTGAATGGATGAGTTTTAGGCTAATGTTGAGAAGAGATAATTTTGAAATTGGAATGGGAAATAACATTGGTCACTCAGCTAAACAGTATGCTAGAATGTTGATTGTTTTTGGACCCTGGGCAATGTGTTCATGGATCCCTTGGAGTACCTGGTGAAATCTAATGGTAGTAGAGTTCAGTTATAATCACATGATTCAGTGTTTGTTTATGTTTTTTAAAATAATTATTATTGATACAAACACAACCTTAAAGTGATTGTAGAGAAATTATGAATCTTCAAGCTGTGGACACAATTATAGTCACTCTTGGACCTTAGTTTGAAAATTAGAGTCAAAAGGTATTTTGGCTTAATAGTCAAAGCAGCCATTTACTGGTCCATGTACTACCAACCCCTGCTTTGTAGCCTGGGTTGAGTTACTTATCCTCTTTGGTCTTCAATTTCCTTTTTCCTATAGTCAGAAATAAATAAAACTCAGTGAATCTTGTAATCACTTAGCACTTGTCTTATCCCTGTGTTGTCTTAAGGGCTATAGCTATTACTGGTATTTACCTATCTGTCAAAAGACTAAGCTCTTGCTCGACAGGGATTAATCTCTGTCATTTTCGTGTCTCCCACTTTTAGCATATACCTGACACACACACATTAGAGATAAAATAACGTAGCCTGGATTCAAGGGGGCTTTTTTGTCCTCTCAAAGAATGGCTAAGAACTAAACTGTAGTATTGAGTGTAAGTACAGCAGGAA